CCCAGTCCTCTGGTCCTCCAACTGACAGGACTGATAAGGCCCAGCTCTCAGTCCTTTGGCCCTCCAAGTGACAGGACTGATAGGCCCAGCGCCCAAGCAGTTTCTGACCCACCCAAGGGATTGCTAGGCAGGACGGAAGCATGTTTCCAAAAGTCCACTTTCTTAAAAACATCATTTAATAAACCAAGTTATTTTCATTTGAAATCAGGATTTAGGGGTGTGGGGTGTTAGGAGAGGAGTCTGAGGACGTTCCTGCTGGGTGCAGCAGTTAGTTGATAGTCTTCTGCTACTCCTCTGTCCAGGAGACACGGTGAGAGCCTAGAAAGAGCATAGAGCTAGCACTGCACTTTGAGTCTAAATTCTGCTACTGGTGGGGAAACAGGTGCACAGCGCAGCCTGCAGACCCTCAGACCAGGGTGTGAACATGAGCAGCCAGAGATGTGGACAGGGTTGGGTCTGAGGTGGTGGCACTGAGGGTGGCTCTGGGAGTCTCCAAGGCAGGTACTGAGCCCCATGGGTCTCTGAGCATGAGAGCTAACCACCTTCCCATGGTTTGCACCATTTCTAATGCTTATTTCTATTACATAGTCAGAGCCAGGCACCAGTGGTTCACACGTATAACCCTAGTTACTCAGGGGGCTGGTATTTGAGGATTGAGGTTCAAAGCCAGCCTGGGCAGAAAAGTCTGTGAGACTCTTATTTCCAATTAATCAGCAAAATGCCAGAAGAGGAACTTTGGCTGATGTGGTAGAGCATCTTAAGGGATAGTGCCCAGGCTCTGAGTTTAAGCCCCAGTACCAGCACACACACGACACTCATGCACCTCCACACATTCATACCCCACAGTCAGAAAAGTGAACTGTGAGCCCTCCCGGGAGGGTTACTGGCAGGTGTCAGGCCTGTAAGGTGTCAGGGCAGCCCGGAGGCTGCTCTTTAGCTGGGGTACCCTCAGAACGCCCTGGTGGCAAGGGGAGCCAGAGAAGTGGAGCTTGAGTCACAGTTTGTCCTCATGTCTGGGCATTACAGACCCCCAATGCCTCTGCTGGAAGGCCACCCCACATGACTGGCCATTCTCCAGGGACTGATTTCCTCCCAACCTCTCCTCCTCTTTCTTCACCCCAATTCCTTTCCTTTCCTTTTCTGTCAGTCGTGGGGCTCAAACTCTGAGCCTGGGTGCTGTCCCTCAGCTTTTCAGCTCTCTCTTTCTTTCTCTCTCTCTCTTTTGCCAGTCATGGGGCCTGAACTCTGGGCCTGGGTGCTGTCCCTCAGCTCTTCAGCTCAAGGTGAGCGCTCTACCACTTGAGCCACAGCGCCACTTCTGGCTTTTTCTGCTTATATGGTGCTGAGGAATTGAACCCAGGGCCTCACGCAAGGCAAACACTGTACCACTGAGCCACCTTCCCAGCCCTCTTTCTCTTCCTTCCTTCCTCTCTCTCTCTTTTCTTTCCCTTCCTTCCTTAATTTCTTTTCTTTCTCTTCCTTGCTTTCTTCCTTTCCCTTTCTTTCCTTCTTTCTCTCTCTCCTCTCTCCTTCCTTCCTTCCTCTTTCTCTCTCTCTCTCCCTCCTCCCTTTCTCACTTCCTTGCTTTGGTTCTTTTCTGCCAGTCTGGGGCTTGCATGCAGGGCCTGGACACTCGACCCCGCCCTTGGCCCTCTCACTTCTGTTGCGGGGACACTGCTGGGAAGTGTGGGAGAATGCACAGGGATAAAGACGGTCAAAATCTGCAACAGACTGAAGGGATGTGTCCCCACTAGACAAGGAGCCAGGAGGAGAGCAATTCAGACACTGGCAAGCAAGCACCCCATAGAAAACACTGATTTCTTCTAGGAGTTTCTGGACATTAAGACGGGGGGCGCGGCTCGACAGTAGAGGGCCTGTCTAGCACGCAGGGGCCTCGGATTCGAACCCAGGACCCTCCAAGCGCTCAGCCTGTGCGCTGTGCTGCTCTGCACTCGCCCTCCAGGTGTGTGTCTACTTGGGCTCGAGCTCTGGGCCCGGGCGCTCTACCACCGGAGCCACGGCCCCTTCCCGCATTTCTGCGGAGGTGGTGCTGAGACTCGAACCCAGGGCCGGGTGCTGCGCGGGGCGCTGTGCCCCAGCCGCCTTCCCGCCTCTCCCGTTCTCCAGTCAGGCGCTGGGCGTCCGCACGCTGGCGAGCACCTCCGCGGCTGCGCGGCGGCCTCGGGCCCTGCCCGCGCGGTTTTACTGCGCGCAGGCGGTTGTGCGTTTGCTGCTTGGGCTGAA